GACACTCTTATTATTACTTATGCTGTTAAATTAGGGATGTTTTAATGCCAACAAACACAGGTCTACGCCATTGCTTTCAATATAAACTGTTCAGTTGACAAACCACTAGTCACGTGGCTATTTAAATTAAGTTTGAATTAATGAAGATTAAATCAAGTAGGATAACATTAAAATTTTTCTGTTTCCCTAGTCACTTTCGAGGGCTCAGAAGTCACTTTGTCTGGGGCTGTGATTGAGGGAGAAAAAGCATCGGAAATTCATGCACTAGCTCTTAAAGTTGCATCTCAGAAGTGATATAAGAGATTCTTACCAAATCAGTGAGGGAAACAGGTCACATCATTTTGTGTAACTCTCAAAGAGGTGGGCGTACACGTGCCTGGGAGAATCACCAGAAATACTTGGTGAAAAGCATAAATGATGTGCCCAAACTTTATCTTTTATTGGTTGCAAATTTTTTGTTTAGGCATAATAACATACAGATGATGAGAATGATACCTAAAATTTATCATGTGTTGGGCATCTTGGTAATATTTATCTCATTCAATCTTATTATTGTTCTCTTATAAATGAAGCGATGCAGGGTTAATTACCTTGCCCAAGGTTAGGTAGCTGATAAACAAATCTGACGCTCTGATTGTAGAGCCTGCATGCTTAAATGCTTCCTCCATTACTTAAGGTCTCTTCCACACATTCTAGTGGTTTTTTTTTTTTTTTTAAAAACTTAGTCTTTTTAATGAACAATGTTCTATCTGAACTTACACTTTCTTGCTAAGTAATGCTTCCTACTGTAGTTATTTGAGTGGATGTGGCTTTTTCCCCCAAGAAATGTAAGTGCAAATCTGAATGAAGTGGCACCATGTGAGCAAATAAGACTTCACTGAGCTAAGGAATGACAGATATCGGGTCTGGTAGTGCATGCTTGTAATCCTAGTACTCAGGAGGCTGAGGCAGGAGGATTGTTGCAAGTTCCAGGCTAGCGTGGTTTGCATAGGGAAAACCTATCTCAAAGTAGAAAGAAGAAAGAAAGAAAGAAAGAAAGAAAGAAAGAAAGAAAGAAAGAAAGAAAGAAAGAAAGAAGGAAGGAAAGAAAGAAAGAGAAAGAAGCAAGGAAGGAAGAAAAAAGAAAAGAAATTCATAGGCTCCATGGACCTCAACCTTTTTTTTTTTTTTTTGGTCTTTTCTGTTTTTTATCGGTTCCAGGGATTGAACTCACGACTGCCTGCTTGCAAGGCAGCTGCTTATGCCGCTGAGCTAAATCCCCAGCCCCATGGACCACAACCTTTGAAGACCTACTACTTTGCATCATTTTTCCTTGCTGAATCTCCTACAGAAATAAATGGTGGTTCTCCTGAGCTAGGGTGCATCCAGTCCTGCAAGGAAGGTCTTTCCAGTTCTACATCAACCCAAGCAAAGGAAAGAAACAAGACATTTCCTCTAAGAGAAAACCCCTCTCACCATGGGCTTTCTTCCTGATGGGGCTTCAGGTACATTCCCCAGAACACCAGCCTTTCCTTTGGTTATTCTAATGTCACTAATTCCCATCTTTCCCACAGGATGCCTTTGCTTCTAGACTCTATAGACCCCCCCCACAATCCCCTCTTCCTCATTTTGAATACTCATATCACATCTCCTTGCCAAATATGAGGAGAATGGCTGAGAATTTTCTCCTCCCCTTCTTGTCCACAGCCTAGGGCAATGGACCCCATGATGACCATCTTGCATCCTCTCTCATGAGACACTGATTACTGCCCCTGAGCAGGGACACGATCCTAATCCTCCCGCCTTCCTTCCCACAGCCACCATTGTTCTCTGCACAGTCAGGACTGAAGCTGGTGGAGACCCCCCCTGGGTGGTTCCCAGATGGTTGGCACCATTCCCCGATTCACTGTTGGCGTGCGCACCCCCATCTCACCTCCCCCCTCGGTAATTCCTGTTATTTTCCTGGAGGGGAGTGGAGACTGTGTTTATGTTGTCACCCTTCCTGTAAGTCTAGTTTTTAAAACTTAGCAGATGTTAAAAAAGTTGCCTAAATTTGCATTTCTTGATTATAAGTTAGTTTGAACATTTTCCCAGACATTTGTTTCCTATTTGTATTTTCTCTGGTGTGCCCGAATGTTCTTGCTTGAGACTCGATCACTTAGCTAGTGGAATCTTGGGGCTCGTTTCTAAAAACATGTATGAATGTGCTTTAAGATCATTTAGGAATTGTTCTTTTTCAGTCATCTTTGCAAATATTTTCTTATTCAGTTGCATCTCTTTTCATCTCATGTACCTTTTATAATGGCTTTTTTATTATGTTATCATTTTCAGGAATTAGTTTTTCTAATCTGTTTACCTATCAGGTGCCTGGCTTCCTTGTAACTTGCAGGACAAGCAGTGTGAACGTGGGCAGCCTCTTTATTATTCCCTCCCCAGTGTCTGGGCAGGGCTGGGTGATACATGTTTCATAATATTGACTGCATCAAACCCTTCAAAATGATCATCTCTGGTAGAAGTATTTAAGCAGTGTGTCATACATTTATCTGATTAAAACACGCAAGCTTCTTTAATCTAACTGGAATACATCTGTGATTTTGCCTTCAAATTATTATCTTTACCCTGTTTATTAAATAACGTTTCTTTCTTCCGTTTTTATAGGGTTTTTGTTTCTGATCTTTTTTGTTTTGTTCTGAGATGAGGTCTTACTGCTCAAGCTGGCCTTGACTGGTGATTCCTCCATATCGGCCTCCTGAGTAGCCTGCACCACCATCTTTGGCTCCTTTCCCCACGTTTAGAGTATTTTTAAATACATTAAGTTATCATGTTTTATGGATTGATTTTCCTAACTTTGAAGTATTACCATATGAGTTTCATTACTATTGCTTAAACAAAGTTTAAAAATAGATCTCATAAATTTAATTTTCCCTTGTAGTCCTTTTCTTTTCTTTCTTTTTTTTTTTTTAAAGATACTAAAACCCAACAAAACCAAGACAGAATAAAGCCAATCAAAACAAAGCAGTGAAAGTGGAACAGAACTTCGAAGCAAGGAAATGGGAATTCAACAATGGCTACTATAGTATATCTTGTTACTTTCATAATGGTTGTCCATTCCATCAGACATAGCAAAATCAAACCAAACAAAACAGAATAAAACAAGCAAAACAGAATGTTGAATAAAGCAAAAAAAAAAAAAAATTGAAACAAAACAGTGAGAACAATATTTGACTTCAAAAACAAGACAGAAGGAAACCCCCATATTTGCTATACTGAAAACTGTCATCCTCCTGAGAGATGCTCAGACCGCTGGCCCAGGCCTACAAAGTCAACCAAACAACACAAACATTCAGTTGCTTTCTGTACCTCACCTGCTACTGACTCCTCCTGTCCTCTGAGCCAGCCCGGGAGGTGAGTTCTTGATTCCCAGCCTGTGTGCGGGTTGGCTCACAGGAGTGCTGTCTGGCTCCTCTCTTCCTGGGCCCTGCATGGCTTGCACAGCTTACCAGAATGACCAACTGACTTCTTCTTCTTGATGGACTCTTCCCAGCCCTTGCATGGCTTCTCCCCTTGTCCTTTTAAGATTAATTATTTAATAATAATATTCATATTTTTGAAAGTTAATTTGGAATCATTTGATAGTCTTAACCATAGTTTTTAAAAGCTTAGAAGACAGATAATGCCAAATTTGGTTATGGATAAGCAGCAAGTTTATCTGCTTCTCATTTTCAATATTCATCCACTGCCTTGTGAAACTCTGAATAATATTTTTTCAGGTCTGATCTTTTGAAGTCTTTCCATCTTTCAGGATTCATTGTTAGCAGCAGTAGCTCTGTGATTTCACCAGTTTTGTGAGTGTCCTGCAACACAATTCTTTTTTTTTTTTGTTATTGGTTAAATTTGTTAAACGAATGAAGTGTGTTTTGTTTTGTTTTTCAGTACAGGAATTGAAAAACAGAGCCTTTGGATTGAGTTATCTCTCCTATTCCTTTTTATTTTTATTTTGGGACAGAGTCTCATTTAGTCACTGAATTGCTCAAGGTGGGTTGAAAATTACAATCCCCCTGCCTCAGCCTCCCAGAGTACTGGGATTACAAGTGTGCACCACTAAGTCTGGCCGTGAAGTGCTTTTTACTTTTTATTTATATATTTTTTATTTTTAAAACAGAACAAGTCAGATCAGAAAAAAACAATGCAAGCAACACAGGATTTCAAAACAAGACAACAGGAAAGCAACAGGGGCTACCATAATGTCTCTTGTTCTCTTCAAAATAGCTGTCCATACCTTCACACATATTGAAATAAAATGATATAAAGCAGACTAAAACCAATCAAAACAAAGAATAAAATATTATTGGCCTTCAAAACAAGTTGACAGGAAATCAGCAATGGCTACCATAGTGTCTCATTTTCTTCTAAGTAGCTGTTGATACCATCACATTTAATAAAATCAATTCTTGTAAATGCTTTAGGAGAAGATCTAGGCAAGTATAAGCCTATATATGTATGTCTATCTTTTCTGTATTAGAGGGAAAAACAAAACAAAATACAAGAAAAACAAGAGACAAAAGAAAAAATAAATAACCATAATGAAGAGCCCAAAACACTAACAATGTAGACTTTCAAAACAAGGTGGTAGGAACATAGCTAAGGTTGTTATTTTGCATAGTTATCTTCAAAAGAATTCCTCAGATTACCAGATATAAACATGCAAAATTGATCTAATCCCATGAATGTTAGATGTTTTGTTCCAAGAACTCATAGAATTAGTACAACCATCTTAGCTATCTTATGTGTATATATACAAATTTATATCTTTTTTTCTTTTTCCATCCTTCTTTTCTCCTTTTCCCTAGCTGAGTTATGTTTTCCTCTTTGAGCAATTTCTTACCCTTTCACAATACTTTTTGAAGATTATGCATCGTATTTATTCTTTCAGTTTTTTTTACTAGCAAGACAATATGGTATTTACACATGTGAGTTTGATTTATTTCTCTCATGAGTATGGTCTCAAGTCACCACCACTTAAAAATATGGAATGCTCTACAAATTTGCGTGTCAGCCTTATGCACGGTTCTTGATAATCTCTGAATCATTCCAATTTTAGTACATGTGCTGCTGACACGAGCACGTGAAGTGTTTTTTAAATAATAAGTGTTTTCACTTGTGATTTTTTAAAAAAGTAGTATACGTGTTTTACTGTTTTATCACAGAACTTTACAAAGTTAGGCCTAGTGTTAGAAAACTCTGTCCCTGTCTCTGTCTCTGCCTCTGTCTCCCTCTATCGCTCTCTGTTACTGGGAATTGCACCCTAGGCCTTCACACTGAGCTTCATCCCAGCACTCCCTCCTCTTAAAATTTGAAAACATGGTCTTTTTAAGCCACTAAATTGTGCAGACTATGTTTAAACTTTTGATACTCCTGCCTCTGCATCCCCAGTTTTTATGTAACTGTGGAGCCGTCTTTCAATTACGTGTATTCAATCAATCAGAGACTCACTTACTTTACATTTTTTGTGTTAGAATCTGGATTGTGAAGCAACATGACCATTGCCCCTGTCTTCACGTAGACTGAATTTTCAGATCTTCTTTTTTTCCTCTTAGTCTGGAAAGCAGTTTGAAAAAGGAATGTCGATGGATGAATAGACAGAAATACTGGAGTTTTTCAAATTTTAGGTTTCTGAAATGTCCTATAGACTTTTTGGAGGTACATTTCCTATTTTTTCCTAACTTTGTCATTTTTCCACAATTAATCATCAGAAGCGGATAGCAATTTGTGGGCTGTATGAATGTTGGCAGACTCTGCCTCTCTTGGATGTGTTTCAGGGTCACAAACCTACGCAATGGCTCAGTCAGATTTGAGCCCCTTAGAAGAGCCAGGAACCAACAGTTCCTTCAAAAGTGTGAACTTTCACGTTCTTCTTAGCAGGAGGACAGGGTCACCCTGGGCATCATCAGGATTTACTAAAGAAACAGATGTAACACAAGATACACACATGTATAAGAAATTACAAGAGTGGCTTACGATGGTCACCACAAGTCAGATGAGGGTGCATGCAGAGGTGTCTGCAAGCTGGAGGCTTAAGGTTCCCAAGGGCTGGAGCTTACTGCAGTGTTCCGTGCAAGTCTGTATCAGGGGCCGGTGGGTCTGTGACCGAACACTGAAGAATCTGTGACAGAAGGCTGGCCCAGAGATGACGTGCAAGCTGAAGGCAAGACTAGAGCTCCTGTGAAAAGCAGCGCCCAGTCCCTCCTCATTTATGTTTCATTGTATGCAGACTGCTCCCCTGGGGTGGGTGTAGCATGCACCATCTGGGTGCTGTTCTCTGGCACAGGCTGAAAATGTTACAGACTGAGAACCTTGGCTCCCTGCTGAATCACTTAGTTAAAGGACCTTCTCAAATTGACACAATGAACAATATCTTAGAATCCTTGTCCTCCACACCACAGGATGTGGAGCTGCTGAATCCTTTAGTTGAGCTTCTAGACTTCTCAAGTTGACACAATGTGTCAACCTTAACACCCTGCTTCCCTGGGAGGTTTGACAGCCATCTGCAAGAGGAAATGGTTGAACTTTCCCCATTCTTCCTCCAGGGTCGCGCCTTTTTGCTCTTTTACTTCTCATCATCCATTCTCTGTTCTTTCTAGTGTACACGGCCCTACACTTTTCTACTTCATTCTTCCTACCAGCCCATTTTAGAGTTTACCATTTTGTGTAAGGTAGGCTGATAACTTCGGATTCCATTTGCTTTCTTCTGTAGCAGGTAGTTACATAAATAGCAAATGTGATTAAATCTTCAACATGAAATTCCAAGGTCTCTAAAATGGTTCTTTGAGATTCATAATTTTGGATGTGCAGATTAAGTTGTTAATTTCAAACACTGAGCCCCCTCCTTTGGCCACCAGGAATCTCTGAGAAGCCTGCAAATAGAATTTAAAAGAATGAAGTTGTTTATTATGGAAATTATAAAGTTGAGAGCTATAAATATAGGCCAGGCTTGTGGCAGATGTAGGAGTCAGGAAAGTAAATTAGAAGAAAATATAAATGTATTAAAAAGACATCATCTGGGGAGAGCTCAGATGCATCAGATATGAAAAGTCTCGCTCTGGTCAGGAGATGGATGACTCAGGCTTAGAAGGTGACTTCAGCTTACTGAATCACCGTGGAATTTGAGGTGACCCACAACCAAAATAGTTAACATTGGTTTATCTGTGCATTCTCTTTCTGGAGTCAAACTATATTAACCATTTTTTAAATTCTTTTTTTGTGCATTTGTCATGCATTAGACATGGTTCTGAGTTCTGAGGCTGTAAGAGACAAAAGAAAGATCTAACCCAACAGTGGTAGAAGTCTTCAGCTTAAATACTGAGAAGGAGGTTGGTAATACTGTGGGTAAGGATGGTTGTGATGGGGAAGTGCAGGATGCTAAGCAAAGGTATGGGGGAATCATAGAATCCAGATGTGGTGTCTGCCTGGAGACCTGGGGGGTGAAAGAGTCCTCAGCTGTCAATAGTGGGGTGGAGGTGGGTCTGAGTGGTGGTCATGGCCAAGGGAACAGGGGAACACAGATCTCTTACTACCATAAGATACCATAATTCAAATTTTGGGTTTCTAGTTCATCATAAATACATCAAAATTACAATCTACTGCCTCTGTTCAACTGCATATTGGGTCTGTATTGTACCTATGGGCTGCACAATTTTAAGTCCAGTAACTGACATTCTCTTCTCCTTGAGCAGTGCTTGCCTGGGCATTGATATTATTGATACTATTGGCTCTGGTGGCTTCCTTTTCTGTTTGTTTGCATAACTGATCAGTTTCTACCTTTTCTTCTTCCCCAGTTCTAAGACTCATGTAATGACAATATATTAAAATAGTTTTCAGTAAATTTCTGTTGGCTTGGAAACCAAGCTGTCTCCATGAAGCATTTCTACTTCTGTGTGATCTGACCCATAGTTTTTGTTTTCTTACTTTCAGAGGCAGTGTAGTTTTCTGTTGCTAAGAGTAACTCTTCTGTGGCTAACTCATAGTGCTAATTTGTCATTTGTTGTCTTTTCTGTAGATAGAAAAAAACCACAACTTTCACTTGGAATCCAATGGATCTGTTGTCCAAAGAACCACTGTCCAATAATGGATCCTGGTTAATTAGAAAATGTTTATGCTGTGTTTGGTAATTATTTCTCAGAAATGGTTTGTGTATGCTTTTTGGAGTTAAAGCAAGTTGTTTCTGCTTTCCCAAAACTCTTCAAGCTCTGGATGTTTACAACTACCAAAGAATTCATCAGAAGATAAATGTGAGTGTTGATACAGCCCCATGGTGTCCAACCTTGTAAACTAAGATAAAATACCAAAACCAAAGATCTTGAGGCCCATTATTCTCATATGGAAAGGCGAAAAAGTGTATCTTTATGAGACATTTGGCTCAATAATACTGCAGAAAAATCGGGTTGTGCCATAGATGACCTTTAGGGCCTGTCAAAATTAGTGGAGAAAGTTCTTAATAACTGTCAGATATATTGATGTATTGTGTGCTGAACTTTCTTGGAGACATCGGGGGACAGTATACCATTATAAATTTTCTATTCTACTTCTCCTGTGTTACTGTCACAACTTCTGATCACATGTGTTATTTCCTTCTCTGCCTTTTTTTCTAAAATGAGAATGCTTTAGAGCATGTCATCTTGGTGAATTTTGGTTGATGTTGCAGGGTGTGCCATTTTTGCTTGTCATCATAACGGCTCTGTGTCAATTACATCAGTGCTAAGAGTGATGGACCAGGAAATTTTACTGTGTGATAATACTGACCATTTGAAGTGCTGAGATCTCTCTGCAGGGCTGCTTTTTAGAAACAACCAAGTAGAAAGTTAAGAAACTTTCCCTAACTCTCATTTTCTTAAGAAATCACTTGTCCTAAGGAGTCACATGACCCTTGGCCCCTGGCATGAGGGAAATGAAGAGGGGCTTGTCTGTGGGTAACCGCAGAATGGCCCTCTGGTTATGACCTCATCCAGTGGTGTTTGGCCAATGTGTGTGTAATAGCCTCACAGGGCCTCAGACACTATGGGTGTGCTGAGAGGTATCTGGGAAATGTAATGTACTTTAAATTACCAAGAAGTAATTTGATCTGAATAAGGCAACTCCAAAGAGAGCTCATTATGTTTCTCCAGAATGCAATTGCAAACTGTAATTGGATTTCTTTTTAAGATGAACAGCAAACTCAGGGAAGTGGTGCATTTATCATCTTTGTCAATCCCTTTCTGGAACCTGAGCACCAGGGATGAAGGCACACAGTTCATCCCCTTGGGCAGAGAGGGTGTTGAGTAACTAGCATGGGTCAGCAGATACAGCCATTGCTCTTCCGCACACAGTGGATGTGCCCGGGCCTTGGAGGGAAGCTGGCGTTACTCAGGAGGCGGATGGGAGAGCAGCGCTTAGAGATCAGGGGCCAGAAAGGGAACTCGGGAACCTGAGCTTGTTGCACCAATTCAGTCCTGTAGTGTTGGGCTTTGGACCCAGGTCAGGACAGTGGGACTGGAATGCAAGGCTCTTGCACCCGTGACCTTTAATAATTCATTTCCTGTTGGAGACGTTGGGCAGTGAAAAGGATCCTGGTCTAAGCATCCAGAAGAAAGGGATTTTGGGATTTTGGATTTTGGGTCAGGTTGAGGCTGTGTTTTCTATTTTATAAAGTAAAGAAATTGAGCTAGACGATCTCTGTGTCCTTCAAAGACCTCACATTTTTAGATACAATGGTTTTAAGGCCTTAAGAGCTTCCCTCCAGTCTCTCTGGAGTAGAGAAAGACCCCATGAAGCAGCTCCTACTTGACTTTTCTACTTCCTGGATTGTTTTGGACATTCAGGCTCACTGCAGGTCCCTGGCTGACCAGAGCTTACGTGTTACATGTTACAGTCATGTCACCTTTCTGGTCTCTTTGCTGAGTAAAAATCTGGCCTAGACGTTGGCAGATTGACTTTCATGAACTAATTTATAGGGAAAGGTAGTCTGAACTGGCTAAAGACTTTTTTAAAAAAAGTTACATATATGGTAGTATTTTGTCTTTTTACAAGCTCAATTTTCATAATTATGTCTCACATACCACAAGGCATATAGACATAGGAAGTATCAGTATG